GGAGGATGTGCATGACGCCAAAATACAGCGTAAGAAGGCTGGTACACAGATGTTTCTGCAGAGAATGGCACAGACGTCCAAATACTTTGCAGGTAATGAAAAAAATTGCGGAAAACATAAAATTAGCCATGCACCTGTTATTTACAAGATGCAAGAGAAATGATGCCTTTGGGACGTATGATAAGCATTTTATTCTCCTTTAGGTAAAGAAAGAGAACACAAAGGGCCCCAGGCGCCATGTCCAAACAGAGAACTATCCTCCTTTATGTCTTAAAGGCAGACTCCCTGCCACGTCTCTCTACTTTAGAAGGAGGGTCACACTCAGGGGCACAGCTTCATCTGCAGGAACACACGCTCCACCACCCAGCGCAGGGGGACCGTGCAGCGTCCCTGGGCACCGGGCCAGGCGCTGGCCGGAGAGACGCCCACAGGCCTGGTGGAAGAAAGATGCTGGAGGCATATCCAAGCACCGCATGCAAAGGGCCTGGGGCAGTTTCAGAGAAGGGGCAACGGTGGGACGGGGCCTGCAAATGGCACTGGGGCTGCTTCAGCAGCGCCTGAGGCAGAGGGAGCAACGCACGTGGCAAGGAGGTGAGAGAGAGGGCGGGCCGTTAGAGGCTGGCACACGGTGTGGCCGAGCCGCACGGGAGAGCAGGGCTGCGTGTGTGCGTGTGTATCTGAAACACATACAGGAGGCAGTTCCAGCCGAGGAGCCTAGATTTCACTCTCGAAAGAAACAGGCCCCTATGAGAGCAGAAGAGCGACTGACAGAATCCACGTTTGAGAAGAAGCCCTCCGTGGCCACGTGCAAGGCTGGAAGGCGGAGGGCAGCTTAGGAGCAGAGGGGTCACCGAGATCTCAGACCGGGGTCGGCGGTACCCAGAGATTGGTAGTTTTTTCAGATATTTTTAAAACCCCCATCTGCGGTAAGAAACGCGTTTTAACGTCGTAACCCAGGGTGCGCGCTGATACAGGTGCATCCATACGTACAGCTCCCGAGAGCCAGACGCCACCCCGCGCCGGGTCGTGTTCCGTCTCGCCAGCAGGTCTGCCCGGCACGGGCGTCTGTCTGCTCCACAGCGCTACGGACCTAAGGCTGCTGCTGACTCCGGGCCACCCCAGCGCTGCCCGTGCTGCTAAAGTGATGCCCTTCGGTCGCTGTGACTCGTTGTCCTTGCATCGGCTCCCTGGCTGACTGTGCTGCACGGGCAATCAGGTGCTCACAGCACGTGTCCCAGCCAAGCCGTCGGCAATGCTGCTCCGCTGCGCTGCTGATTTCTGCAGTCTGTTGCTACTGTTTTTTGTTTGTTTGTTTGTTTTTGCGGTACGCGGGCCTCTCACTGCTGTGGCCTCTCCCATTGCGGAACACAGGCTCCAGACGCGCAGGCTCAGCAGCCGTGGCTCACAGGCCCAGCCGCCCCGCGGCATGTGGGATCTTCCCGGACCAGGGCACGAACCCGTGTGCCCTGCATCGGCAGGCGGACTCTCAACCACTGCGCCACCAGGGAAGCCCCTGTTGCTACTCTTAAAATGAAACGGAAGAGGCTGCCGTATCCGACTGATACCTCGTTTCATAGAGTATTCTGAAGATGCCCAAAGCCCTGGAACACAGTTTTTGTCAAAAGAAACACTAATACATGATGTTAATTTTGGTCTCGATGACCCGATCCTACAGAGCTGGAGCGGCCTGGCCGCTCCTCGTGAAGCTACCAGGGGAGGGAAAGCAGCCGCCGTTAGCGTTGAATGAATGGGTCCCGCTTCTGTTCCACCACCCCCAGCAGGAGCGTCTTGGGAAACTCATTTACAAAGTGCGTGCACGGGTGTCATTGTAACAGCTACCGTCTGTCGGGCGTTCAGTAATGTGCCGGACGCTGTGTTCAACACTGGATGTGCATCATCTCACGGTCTTCAAGCAGACCTCTAACTGCCATCATTTTCTAGAAGATGAAACTGATGCTTAGACGATTAAAGAATCCTGCGCCAGGCCACGAAGCCACGAGGGGTGAGCCACGGGTCAATCTCAGGTTTGTCTGCCTTTAGAAGCCAAACTCTTAACTGCTGGGTTACGTTTTATCTGTTCCTCTAAATACATTTTTCTGAGGCTTAGCGAAGCCAATGGATTTACGTGATGACCAGCGAACAAGTGGTAACACCACAGCATCAGTGTCAAGTCGGCCTCCTCCACCACCTCCACTGCCCCGTAACTTAATACCTGCCCCGGCCCCCGTCAGCAGTACCCACGGGCGGACAAGACACATGAGAAAAGAAGAGAGAAAAAGCTCCTTGAGAGTCACAGGTGCAGAATGAAGCTGGCTCTCTCACCCTGTCTCTCCTACCTCACCATTTAAAGCCAAAAGGAAAACAGAAGAAAGAATTCACGTTTAGATGCGGCAGGAAAAGAATGAAACTAAATATGACTTCAGCCTAACTGACGGCAGCTGTATAATCTCTAGGTTAGAAGGAGGCAAAGAAACAGTTCCAGTGACGGAACAGAGGTAGTATGTGGATTAAGCAAGAACACGTGTTTAAATATTTAAAGACCATCAGGATCTTACCACGTGGAAGCCAGCGATAAAAATCAAAATGAGTGAAATAAAGTTGATACATCTTTCTTTCATAAGAGACTAGGATAAGGAAATGCACAAAAAGAAATTCTTAGTATTGGAAGCTCCAGATGCAATGCCTCAGTGAGAGAAGAATCTCCACAAGCTGGTCCACCAGGGCTGCAAAAGTATGCATTTACGTAAGACAGATTTTACAATTTTACAATAGGCGCACAGGCCTAGAGAACAGATCAATAATGTAAATGAACTGCTTTTAAACAGTTACTAAAAATCCTTCTAGAAAAACAATTATGGATCTCAAAGCTGGACGAAGTCTGGCATGAATACTAGAAATTGTTAACGTCCGAAAAACAGGTTTTCGAAAGCAAATTACAGTAAAGCAATGTATCCCGAGCCCCTCTTCCCCGGCAAGCTGTTATTTCAGCCCTGACCCTGCTCATGTACTTGTTCATGGGCCTTTGCGTCTTCCTCTGATAACACACTCAAGAATTTAAATAATTAATTACTAGGCTTTAGGGGCAGTAAATTCAATATAACGCACCCCCCCCCCAAACCTCCTAATTTACTTTTCCACAAATATTCATCAACGGCAATTTTCATTTAAACTCTGCCACAGAGCAGGGCCCCAGTCTGAGAGGCAGTTTAAATGGAACGCTTGCTTCAAAAGCCAAATCCATTAAGATGAACGTGCCAAAGTGACACGAGAACTCCGCTAATGCTAATCGGACACATCCTGAATGCAGTACACTTCTGAACATAGTTTATGCCCCTTCACAGTTTCCCTCTTAACACCCAAGCCGGCTGCACGGGGCATGTTCCCACAATCTGACACAATACAGGTTTTTATGGTCAGCAACTTTCCATCTCTCAGGCTGAGTGCATAGTCTACAGAGGTGAGAACAGCTGCAGTGTGAAAACACTACTGCTGCAAGGAAGAGAAAATGAGAGGTGACAAGTCTTTAAGAGTACAAACAGAGGAAACATGATTTTGTTTTCTTAAATATAAGAATTACAGAGCTAGATGGTCACCATGGAAACCTAATATGCAAACCTCTGAACTTGTCAGCCTATGGAAGATATAAAAAGTGTCGTGTGTGGTTTTGCAGAGAATAAGGGCAAGACGGGCTATCAGTCGATAGATGCGTGTCCACAGTGGGGCGGGCACTAAACATATGCACTAAACATATTTCTCTGAGGTCACCGACGTGCGGGCCTCTGAGGTGACAGGCAAGGACACAGTGCTCGTGGTGGCTATGAAGACAGAATATTAATGGCACTGCTTCCTTCCAGGGCCAGCCTGGGGAGGGTGGTGGCCAAGCACAAAGCAGGGCGGGTCAGGATCATGGTACCAACGCCCACACCCCACACCGGGCGGGCCCCCAGCCTCAGGCCGCCCTCTCCCCATCTCCCTCCCTCCCCATTCAGGGGGGTGAGCGCATCTGCTTCACCACCGGGCTTTTCTTCCCATTTCACAGCAACACCTCCAGCCTGCTTGGCCTGTGCCTGACGGACGTTTGGTCTTCACAGAGGAGAAGCTCAAGGTCAAAGGCAGCGCGCACTGCCTTCTGTCCGCCTCTCCAAAAGGATCTGCCGGGCGAGGAGGAAGGTAGCTAGCCAAGTTCCAATTTTCCTAATGCAATGAGAGCTTTCCCTATTGCCCAAGATACGGTATGTTTCCAATGCAAAACAGCTATTCTTGCACATCTGTCCAAGAGCAGCTCAATTGAAAACAGGCCTGTCAGATCGACACCATTTCCATTGCCGCTCAGTTCCTGTCACGCTGCAGAGAGCGGAGCAGCGCTCAGCAGCAGCCACAAGGCAATCTTGCAGGAAGACTTGTTAATCTCTACACAGTCATTCTCATGCAGCCATCAAAGCGAACTTAATGACACATCAGTTAAAATAAATTACTCTTAGGATCTTGCAAGGAGCGGCTAAAAGGCAAACCATATGTGACATCCTTTTGGCCCTCCCTGTGAAGGCACACAATTGTCACCATCTGTGCTGACTGTTCTGTCTGCTCCACCCACCTGCCCCCAGACCCACCCTTTGCTCGGGTGGCTCGGGAGGTGACCTCTGTGGGCCCTGGGACCGCGTCTGCATCAGCTGCGACCTTGCTCTGTGGCTTCTGGCTGGGCTCAGCCAACGGGGGGCACCAAGAGAGCTCAGAAGCTGGAGCAGAGCAAGGTGAGGTCCCCGCCCCTGCCGTGCTCCTGCAGCCAGGCAGCCCCCCTGCCTCCCCCACTGCTGCCCGCCCGGTGTGCTCACAGCCTCCAGCTGTTGCTAATCCCCGGGTGGCTCACCAGCCTCACTGGTTCCTGCAACCCTGCCTGCATCTCCAGCGACAATCCCTCGATCGCACCCGTTGCCAAGCACACCCCGGGCCGCCCCCCCGCCGCGGTCAGCAGCCCGAGGCGACCAGCTGGCATCGCTCACCTGGACCGTGTGGACCAGGTCGGCTGCCAGGCACTGCTTCAGCTTCTCATCGCTGCCGGTCCCGTGAAGCACCAGGTCTGGCATGTACGTGGGGCAGTAACCCGCCAGGAGGGAGCGGCCGAAGTTTCTCACGTTCGGGGTGCTGACGCTCTGAGACCTAAGATGATACTGGACATCAGAACCCACAGCGAAAACGCGCCCCCTTCTTGCACTGCAGCTGGAACAAAGCCCCAGTGACACAGGTGAGAAAAACAGATTCGGGGTGGTTCGTATCACAAGTTCTCCAGGAAGTGGTTTAGTGGTGCAGGAAAAGGAAGGGAGTTGAAGGGAAAAAAGAGTTTTCCTAAAGGGGAAGAGCAGGAAAAAGTGAGTATTCTGGCGGCTGGCTGCAAGCCTGGGCCTGTACCTCACACAGAGCATCCTCCAGCCACTGTGTGGAAGAGAAGAAAGGGAGAGTCTGTGAGCGTGGTGAGGGGATCTTGTCGAAGCCTGGCTTGAGGAACTCGGCACACCTGCTCAGGGTGCAGCCAGGACAGCGAAAGGCCGGAAGGCATCTCTAGTTACCGCTTTACCGACCAAACATCAACTGACGGAGCCCCAGGAAGAGGGGCTTTTCCTGACCGCATCAGGCTGCTCTGACCGGCAGGCAGGAGAGACCCGCAGGATGTCACCCACCACCTCCCAGGCTTGGTGTCCGCGGCCACAGATCTGCCGCGGGGACGACGGAAGATGACACCCCTGCTCCCCACTGCCCCCGCGCCCCTTAGCGTCCCCCAGTGTCCCCAGAGCTGCAAAGCCGCCGCCAGCTCCTGGCTCAGAGCTGGGCTGAGGAAGGGCACGCCGGTCTGGGGACACTAATGCTTGGAGAGAATAATCCTGCCCTGTAGCAGCCCAGAGCAGTGGTGCCGGTGGGTGCCGGCTGGACGCACATCATCTCCCCGGCCCGGCCCGCCGCTGGCCTTACCTGGGCAGCGGCAGCTCCACCTCCGGCGACCCTTCGGGCCGGTCATGCTCACTGTCACCGTCACTGCCGGGACCCAGGCCCGGCGAGGCCGGCGCACACGGGTCGTCGTCACTGTCGCCGAGTGCGCTGTCCGAGCTCTCGTTCCTGGGGAGACCTCCTTCCCGCCTGAAGCTGGCGTCCTCGCGCGGCACTGCGGCCGCGCACCCGCTCGGCGCAGGCCCGTCCGCGTTCTCCCCGCCCCGACCCCACGGCTTCCCTGGCGCGTGCGCGGGGTCCACAGGTGCGCCGGGCGTCTCCGCAGCCTCCTTGGCGGCCCCGGTCCTGACGCCGCGGGCCCCCGCACATGCCTCGGGGGCCCGGGAGCACCTCGGGGCCCGCCAGTCCCGGGCCTCCCGGGCCGCATCGGGCCCAGCCGGGGGTCGGCGCGCTGGCTCCGCACACCTGCAGGCCCGCAGCCGCTCCTCCATCGCTTTGGTGCGACTTTCGAAGTCCGAGTCCGGAGACACGGAGCTCCCGATGTGGAAGGTGACCTTCTCCCAGGGACGCCCCTCAGGGCACGGCCTGGCCGCCGAGCGGTCGGGCAGCTTCTTGGGCATCTCCCCGCCCGACCCCTCCCCGCCGGCCGGCCCCGCGCACGCACCTCTTGCGGAGCCGCCGCGGGGCGCCTCCTCCGTTCTCTCCTCGTCCCCACACGACGCGCCCCGAGGTCTCCGGGGGCCGCGGGCCGCGGGGCTCTGCTCCGGTCCCCGGCCTCCTCGCCCGGCGAGGTGGGGACAGAGGTCTCCGGTGTCAGCGTGCGGCGGCAGGAGGGCGGGCTCGCTCCTCACCGTGACCACCACGTACTCGGACTCCTCCACCTCGCCCCTCTCCAGGGCCGTGGTGATGCTGCCCCCGGCCAGCGCCTGCTCGTCTGGCCCCCAGGCCCCGCTGCACGTCAGCTGGTTCTCCTGCAGCTCTGAGCACCGCAGGAAGTAGGTCAGCACGTACAGTATGCGCTGCACCAGGTCCTTCTGCTTCCCCAGCACCACCGTGCGCGTCAGTCGCACCGGAGAGCCGATGGCCCCGTAAAGGTCGCCTAGAGGCAAAGTGGACAGAAAGACAAATCGTCTGGGGCAGCGAGTCGAGGGTGTGTCAGCCCGAACACGAGAGATGCAGATGATTTACTCCCAGGCCAGCGTCGCTTCTTCACACGCCTGACTGCGGCACAAAGGTAATTCCTAGAAGGACCACCTTTCAGTGTTCCTCTGCAACATAAAGTCGGCCTGGAAGGCCTGCCAGGATCGACCCTGTTCTGGGTGCTCAGGTGCAGTGCCCGTGTGTATCGGGTGCAGTGCACTGACAGTGCAGTGCTGGTGTATACTGGGGGCAGTGCAGTGCCCGTGTGTATCGGGTGCAGTGCTGGTGTATACTGGGTGCAGCGTGGGTGTATACTGGGTGCAGCGTGGGTGTATACTGGGGGCAGTGCAGTGCCAGTGCACAGAGGGTGCCGTGCTGGTGTATACTGGGTGCAGCATGGGTGTATACTAGGGGCAGTGCGGTGCCAGTGCACAGAGGGTGCAGTGCTGTGTTACACAGTCCCTCCAGGTGCTTGCTGGGCCTTTCCAGGCAGCTCAGTGGGCTGGCTGATCCCATCTCCGCAAGGTAAGGCTAAAGCCAGAGCCCTGAGTATGTGACCAAACCAAATAATTTATCTTGGAAACTAGAACGATGAGGTCTTTTTGAAGAATCCCAGGACAACAGGCCCTGGGGTGAAATTCCGGGATCTCCGAACAGAAAGTGCAAGTGAATCAATTCAAAACGCTTAATGAAATGGTCTGCTCAATACACACAGGCACCAAGAAGAATCAATTTGATTAACAAGAAGAAAATCACTTGCTCATGAATAATGAATCTCATTTTTTTTCTATTACTTCACATGAAAATTCTACTGGAGAAAAATGTCCCACAACTTATATCCTGACACACTGATTAAAAGCCGGCTAATGAAGCACGAACAATTGGCTTAAAGGTGGAAGAAAAAGGCAAACCTGTCAACGAACCATCAGTGCAGGCTCCTCATCACAAGTGTCTGTCCAGTGCCTATTAAAATTATTGCATGTAATAAAACCTGACGATTACACCTGGTAAGCCGCACCTTCCATATTTTGATAATAATATTATTGACAGTTACAACAAAAAGCCAACACTTACTGACTGTGCAAGCACAGTGCTGAGTGTTTTACATGGCTTTATCTCATTTACATATCTGTATAAGCAACCCTAAGTCAGAAAGCATTGCAGGAATAATCAGAATGTTGGAATAAATCAAAATGTGAAAAGATCCTAAATAAAGGAGAGGAGATGCATGGTTAGCAGCTATAAATAAGAACTCAGGAAGTCGGACTCCATCTGGCAGGAGGAGGCGAGGCATCTGTTAGATAAAACTAATCACACTGTTAAGGTTTAAGACTGACGGAAAAGGGACAGCACGCATCAGAGGTGCCCCCTCTAGAGAGGGTTTCCAGGGTAAGCCTCCTGAGAACAGGTAAAGGGCAGGATAGAAGTGATATCACACAATCCTCTCTATAAAAGGACTAGGTGGGGCTTCCCTGGTGGCGCAGTGGTTGAGAATCCGCCTGCCAGTGCAGGGGAAACGGGTTCGAGCCCTGGTCTGGGAGGATCCCACGTGCCGCGGAGCAACTAGGCCCGTGAGCCACAACTACTGAGCCTGCGCGTCTGGAGCCTGTGCTCCGCAACAAGAGAGGCCGCGACAGTGAGAGGCCCGTGCACCGCGATGAAGACTGCACGCAACTAGAGAAAGCCCCGCGCACAGAAACGAGGACCCAACACAGCCAAAAATAAATAAATAAATAAATAAAAGGGCTAGGTGAAGGCTTAGTAGAACGTTCTCTCTGAGGCTTCTGCAACTGACTGAGAAACCATGCAAGATTTCAGAAAAACAACTCAGAACTGTAATCTGATGTCAGCACAAGCACTTCTGTTTGAGTAAACTTTCTTGACTGAGAGCGTGTTACTGTTACTTCCCATGATCACATCTGCCCATGGCTGCGGGTGTCACGGCCACATCAGGAATTCAGGAGGCACTCTTGTTAAATCAGCCCCAATGTTAATAAAGAAGACGAGATTTACATACCCAAAATCTGGCCAAAAAAATGCTTTGGGAAGTCCACTCAGAATGACAGTTTTTAGCAATGCATTTAACTTTTGGTGTTGTGCATTATAATAACTAAGTCATAAATGGGAAAAAGTAAAAACAAAGAAGGCTGTTAAAATACAACTGACAGCAGTTTGACCTGTATGAGGTGGAGAGCCGTGTATGGAGACAGTGCTGCTATTTCAGAGCCGAACTCCACAGCACGACGCATCACTAAGATAACAGACGTACTGGACCTTGACCTTGAAGGCAACTTTTTGAGTCCAGGGCTGATGAAGCTACTAATTTTAGAGCGGATGCCTTTGTTTTGCACGGGTATAATTTTACAGAATGAAGAGCTTGCACGATGATGCAAACAGACCCAACGCCCCGAACTGCACACTTAGAAACGGCTGAGATGATAGATGTTAGGGTCTGTGGCTTTTTTTTTTTTAACCACATTACCTCCCATAGCTCATGACCCCGGGCACAGGGAAAGACAGCTTTATTATCTGTGATACAGTGAGGACGCAGTACCAGGGTCAGAATGAGAGTCTAATGAATTAACGTGCAGAAAGCACCCAGAACAGTGCTTGGCTCACGGTGGCACCTTTCGCTATTACAACACGCTGTTTCCTGAGATTGCTGTGCTTTTCCCCAGTCTGCCGTTATTTTCCAGAAAATGCTGCCCTTCTACCGATCCCTCAAGTGTGTCTTCCTTGAAGGCCCCCTCCCCCCATGCCCCCCTCTTGGTGCCTCCCCCGTATCAACATCTGCAACAGCAGTGTCGGTAACAGGGGGATTCACGTACAAGCAGTGGAACTCCCACGGCAGCCATGAGCCATCACCACCCATCTCACAGATGGAGAAACGGAGGCACAGAGGGTTAGGGCACTTGCCCAGGAGGCTGGGATCTGGTCCAGCCGTCTGCGCATGTCCTCACCCTCTGCACTGCACTGCGTCCCTCGTGGGCTTCTGCTCACCCCAGCAAAGGAGTGCTCGGGGCGTTCTGAACACGGCCCTTCTCCACCGGGCAGCAGGCTCCCCAAGGCTGAGCTGCGTGTCACCCGGGCCCTGGATCCCGCAGAGGGACAGGGCCTTGGACAGAGCGGATATGCAGGCCTGACGGGTCGCTGCAGACTTGGCCAAGTGACAGGCCCTGGAGCGCGCCTCTCCTATCCCCGAGCCCTGGGCTCACAAGCGCACACTCCACGAGCAGCCACGCGGCACGTCAGGTCCCTGCGCCAGGCCTGAGCACAAAGCTCGGAGGAAGCAGCTAAGGGGGCAATGGAGAGAAAGACAAGGGCTCTGACCTCAGCTCAAACTTAAAAGGAGGCAAAATCCTAGAGTGTGTTACTCTCTTTTCTGTCCGACTTTCCTCCTATCCGGTCCACCCTCTAGGGCAGTGGTCCTCAGCCAGGGGCTCTCCTGTCCTGCTGGGGATATTCAGCGTTGTCTGGAGACAGTTTTCATCATCACCACTTTGGAAGAGGGGTTTTCACTGGCAGCTGGTGAACAGAGGCCAGTGATGCTGCTAAACATCTGACCAGGCACGGGGCGGTCCTCTTCCCCCCTACCCAACCAAGAATCTTCTGACCCGAATGTCAACAGTGCCGAAGTCAAGGAGCCCCACTGGAGGAGCAGCTGCGGACCTACGTGGCTTTAAAGAGCAGAACGAGGCTCTGGCGGGGGGAGGGGAGGACGGGGGCCGCTTTACAGGTACAATCTGTGGGCCAGTCCCCCGTTCCCTGCAGCCCAGTGACAACTGGGAATCGCCGGGCTGGAGGGCGAATAGCAACTGAAGAGGCTCCCGTTTTTCCTATTCTGTCCCACATGGTCTCTGTATGGTACTGACCCAGCTGCGCCCAGAGAGGATTGTATGGGTGTGTCTTGGCCAGCGTGTTGACCAGCTGAGAGGTGCGTTTCTCGGAGAAGGCTTTGATGGGAGGGTGGTCAACGGGCATGACGGTGGGCACCCAGGCCAGGTGGTAGGTTAAGACTGCGGTCAGCAAGGCAGCAAAAAACCTTGGAGAAACGGGAGAAAACACAACGGGGTGAGTCAATGCAGGAAGAGGCATGTCACCTACAGCGCGTACACCAGCCTCGGAACTGGCATTCAAGGCTCCAGAGCGCCACCGCTTACTGGTTCTTGTTGATCTGTTCTATCAGGAGCGTAAATTCCCTGAGGAAGCGCTGGCACAGCTGCGTCTTCTCCAAGGTGCTGGACATCATGGCCAGCCACACGGGCTCGGCTATCCTCGGGACGGAGTACAAGCTCCAGATGGTCCCTCTACAGAAGAGAAGGTACAGGGAACTGTCACAGATGTCACGGCGGACGATCTTTGTGTAAAGGAATCCAGAAGAAAACAGTCACCTGGATCTAGGGAGCCCCTAAGGCATCCAAAGCAGAATATAAAACAGGGGTCGGTAAACTAGGACACGATGCACAGGCCAAATCTGACCTTTTTTTTTTTATAAATAAAGTTTTATTGGCACACAGCCATGCTCAATCATCTCCCCATTATCTGTCGCTGCGTTTGCACAACAGCAAAGCTGAGCAGCCGTGGGGCACAGACCCTTTACAGGAAAGGTATATACTAACCACTGATGTAAAATAGTCATCCTTAAAAAAACTTATTTGCACGACGCCTTGTGTCAGAATTTATGCCAATTTTCATAGGAAAAAAATAAAGGAAGAAAGAATAAACATGCTAGACTGAAAATGTGACCAGAGGGAACTCAAGTCTCCCAATTTCTGGTTAGTGCTTTCGTTCTTTGAACCAAAGCACCCTATTCACTTTAGATGAAAAAAGAACACAAATAAATGGCTCTTCTTCACCATATCATATACTAGATTGTTACACAAGCTATAATAGAATCAAATTCTCAGAACCGTAAGCTGTTAGGGAAAGTGACGAGTCTGGCCGTGTCACTCTACGGCTCAGGAACCTGGAGGTGAAAAGGAGTTCCTTGCGGGAGACACACACGCGCTGAATGACAAGGTCCGGATGAGAGCGCCTCGTGCCGGGGACTCCTCCAGGCCGCGTGGCTCATGGCGGTCCTTCCAGGGAGCGCACCAACGAGCCTAGGATCTCCACTGGCACCTCTGCGTCTAGGAGACACCCCCTCTTCCCGGATGGGGGTACACGAGGTATATTCTGACCTGAGTTTCCGGCCGTGTGCATCAAAGAGCCGGGACACACAGGATCCTGCCCTGGCACGAGGCAGAGCATCTGCTGAGCAGCCAGCAGTGACAAGGGACAGCTACGTGGACCTGGGCTTCGCTTACTGACACCAAGGTTTCCAAACGCTAATACGTGATCCTGTCGCTGTTTCTGGAGCGGCAGGTCGCTGAGGTAAGGATGAGACCTGTCTATCCACAGTGAGGCTTCAGTTCCTGTCCGTTCAGATTCCGGACCTTCTACTAAATGAGTGTCCAGACCCTCCAGCACAAGCCAGCTTCGAGCCTGACCACAGCCCGCCCGGTGCTGCCCGCACAAACCATAGAAGGTTCGCTAGTCACCACACTGCCATCGAAACACACAGCTTCACACTATTTCTCAAATGTGCGACTTGGGTCTGAATGATCCCCAGATAAGGACTAACGTGCTACTTGAGTACTTTACACATAACCCAGGGTTCAACTAAGGCTGGGTGGGGATTTTGCTCCAAGCAGCATTAGAGTTCACCAGCCTCTACCTTAAGCATCACAAAAACGTTCTAACATTCTGAGAATTGTAAACATTTTTATCCCTGGGCTAGAGAGGAACGGTTGGACTCTTAATTAGCTTGTGACGGCTCTGAAGTGCGATTCCATCCCGCACCCAGAAACTGGCCCTAAGAAGCGCTGCAACAGCCCCGCTCAGCATGGTGACCGTGGATCCCGGCTACAGCCCAGACACGAGGGGCAAGACCTCCAGAAAACCGGTCTCCGGGGTACAGAGATCAACAGTTAGGAGCTGACAATGAGGACACGCTAGGGTGACCATACAATTTAATGTCCTGACCAGGACACCCACGGGAAGACACCAGGTGTACACAGGGCTGTCCTGGCAAACTGGAGTGTAACCTCCCTGACGTGCATACTCTCCCCACTTATGCTGTGGACAAGCATCTCAACCTCCAGTTTCCACATCTGTAAAATGGGCTAAGAGTGCTTACTCTTAGGGCTTTGGGGAGATGACACGAGACGTATGAATATTTTTCTCCATTCACTCTGTTACGAACAGTCACATCAGGGACCGTCTATCTGGCAGTCGTGAGGATTACTCAGTGCTGCTGGCTTACACTTTTTGCTCCACTGGGCCTTAGCTTCAAAGGAAGGAGCTGCTAAAGTGACTAATAACTGCCAGCCCCCAACACTCCCGAGTCGTGGTCTCCACGCATCCCGAGATCCACCGCCGCTGCTACCGCTGCTCACCAATTTCCCCTGTTGGGGTTGCCAAACCTTGCCAGTTTACCTGAACTCCCCCAGAGCTTCCATCAGACGGCTGACATAAAACTGGACACGGAGACTTGACTCTGCTATCTTCCTGCACGAGATCATGGCCTTCGGTGGAAAGAAAACAAGCCACATTACGTGGAGAAGAAACTCCTTCGTAACCATCCACTGGGCTTTATTAATAAGACACGATGTTAGAGCCCGCACTGAAGCTAGTCATGACCGAAGTCATCGGGGGCAGTAATTCCCTCTCCCAAAGCAATCAGGATCCGGTACCTGACATCAGTGTGCCTAGGGAACTTCCCACCACTGCTGCAGCCGATCTACACGCCCTGGGAAAGCGAGCGGGTACACAGAGCCCTTGACCCTTACAGCCCCATGTGACAATGGATTGCATTCTCAGTACCTTTTCAATTGCACTTTTCAGCCTGTTCATGTGAGACTCAAACAGGGGGAAATGAGAAAAAAAGAAGTCCTGGAAGTTCCTCTGGGCTTCCTCCGTCTCGCACGGGGAAAAGACGAGGCTTATGGCAATCTTCTTCCTCCGAGCTATGGCCGGGTTCGAACTGCAGGTTTCTTCGGCCAAGCTGAACGTCTCATCCGTTGACCTGGAAGGAGAAGGGGTTTCGGGAGTCGCCCCGCATCAGTGAGCCACACCGAGGACGAACCGTAAAGCCAGGGCGACACCCTGGCGGCCGATCCGGGCGCATGGCCCTAACTCAGAGTGCGTCTACCGCCAGGTCGTCCTCCTGCGTCAGACTCCGTCGTGAAAATGAAAACCTCCTCTTGACACTCAGTGTTAAGCCTAACACAAAAAGAAACTTAAGTGAGAACTGAAAAGTAGTTTCAAACGTCCTCCTGTTAGACTCTTAGCCCTTTTCCCTTGGACTGTGTTACATCAGATTGGCCGCATTTAGGAAGGGGTGTGAAGCATCCGTTGGCTCAAAACACAGGCCCTTTGTTTTGGCTGATAGATACCGATGGATAAGAATATCTGAGGAGAGATGGTCCTCTGTGGTATTGTGTGTGACCCGGGCATCACGTTTGGACATTTACTAGTAGCTGAGGCTTACTTTCCCAAGGTTATTAAAACCATCAGATGAAGTTACTCCTGTAAATGCTGAGATTAAGCCATGCGACTGGGGATACTCTCTGGGAAACCCCCCGAGCAGAAAGACCCACCTCTCTTTTGCTACAGTCAGATCCTCGACCAACTTAAGATTCTTTGCAGAGACTCTGCTTCTAGGATAAGAGAAGCCAATAAACTCTGAATATGTATTCAATTTGTCGTAAGGGGTAAGCCTCACAAATACGGCCAATCCATATCTCTACTTTAACTAGTCTGAAAAACCAGCATGTGACCACATAGCTGCTAACAGCAAGAGTGAAAAAAGTTCAATGAGTTTGTTTTTTTCTACAAAGACACCAAAGCAAAGGACATCACACTGCAAATGAGAGCGCCTACCTAGCCTGGCACATGGTAGGCGTGCAGGGAGCCTTCTCTTTCTCACGGGCTCCACCATTCAGCCTTGTCTGTCATCAAGCTTGGGACACCACCTCCTTTACTACAAACTACACCCGAACGGTCACGTCTGCTCACGGGGCTTGAGGCAGCCAGCCTCCTCCTTGGTCTTTAATTTGTTCTGTAGTGCTCTGCTCACAGCCTGTAATGTTCCCGTGATTTCCAACATACCCACGTCTTAAAAACATACACACATGAGAAGTTTTATGGTCAGGAAAGCTATCTTATTTTTAAAGGAAAGGAGAAGACGTCCTGCTCTAACCTCAGGGGGATATGTCATTGTTTTGCTCCACTTTAAGCAAGATCCTGGAGACTTAGGTGTGGCTGGTAACTCAGTAAAAGTCCTCACCGACAGACATGGCGCAGGAAGGACATGGTTTCCAGATGCTCTTGTAAATGCTGCCCATTAAAATAAACCAGCAACTGCTTGCTCTGAGAAATCCCCAGATCCTAATCATCTGCTCGTCAGAAAGAAATTCTCCAGGCCCTCTTACCATTTTACTTAATTTCAAACAATGCTCCCTCTTCTGCAGAGAACTCGTCCTATAACTTTGTTTTTCTGCACCAGTTTTTACTCCTATTCCGTAGAGGAAATTCTGAGCTTATGTTACACCAATTCCTTCTTACAACCCTTTCTTCTTCGTTATCTCCTATTTCCCCCCTTTTGCAAAAGTAAAATGACTACATCAGTCCACTCATCTTTGGCCAATGTGGTCCTTAATAATCAGACTGCAGTGACCACTGAGCCCTCTGCAGATGTGTGTCAGCTTCAGCTCCACCCTAGAAACAGTAACCAACTGCACCTAGCACAGCGGACGCTGCCGTCTGCCGAATTTCTGAAAAACACCCGCAGCTTTAATAGCGTGCGTGCCTCTTACTCGCTTCCCTATGTCTCTCTGCTGAATTCTAAAGCAACTGAGCTTCATTCAATCTGTCGTCTTGGATCAACCACGCAGACTGGAATAAGTCAGGTCATGCGGTATCTGTAAGTATACTTTTAAGATCAGTCTACAATGAAAGCATGTTTCAGGATGTCTTAAAAATTTTAAGTATGCACACAAATAATTCAACCTAGCTCTACCCTCAAGGCAACAGGTAAGATACACAGACCATTCTGCAAATGTGAAAACTGGGGCAGAGGGACTAACCAACTTGCTTCAAAACAGAAAGCTTTTCAGTGACCACGCCCGAGTCCCAGCCCAGGGGTTCTGTCTGCTAGCCCTGGCTCGTTGCTCGGACACTGGGAATGACCAAGGGCTCTGGCGCCACGTCTGACCCATCCACTGGGGGGACGGGCTGGGAGCGATCACACCAGCTGACAGGCCTTCAAGTCAAGGGAAGACCACGCTACACACTGGATTTTTCAAATAGCATTTTGTTGACACATGAATGAGTATTTACATACACTGTAAATACTTCAAGATCCTAAACAAAGCAACAACTGTGACTATTTAAATACATCTCAGTGACCTGTAATTGGCCTCAGGACTGCTCAGTCTGACTGGTTATGTCAGCTCTGAATGTAGGCGGAATCTATGGGTTATGTTGGAACATATGAAATCGCCATTTCTGCAGGTCAAGGAACATCTCATCAGCGACTCTTTCTGGTTATTCATTTTACAATTCCGGGCCAAAGCCTTTCTGGGACGTCATACCTGCTTGTTTCGGGCTTCACCGGCCGCACTAAGGGGGGATCCGCAGCTTCTCTCCTCCACCGACAGCACCTCTGCGCCAGCGGGTAAACTGCCCCCCGCCGACTCCCCCCACCCGCCGGTCGCCGAAGCTCCCCACGTGGCACGGGGGTCAGCGAGCAACCAACCGTAAGGCTGTGAAGATCCTCCCTGGCCACCCTGCACTCTCTCAGGAACCAGGTCTCTGAGTGCGGTGACTTCCTCTCAGAGCCGGAGGCAATCGCATCCCTGGTACCCAGTGTTCTCCGGTCCTGCGTCAGAAACGAATCCCTTGCCCACACACCTGCCACAGGGAGAGACGGGCGGCGACCCCGGTAATCGAAGGGTCTTCGCGGGCACAGTGACCGAAGCTGAGCGCCCGCGGCTCTTCCGTCCTGGGCGTCAGGCAAGGGCGAGTACAGGACCACCGGCTCACAGCCTGCGCCCCCCCCCACCTCCACGCCTTGCGGGGCTGCTCTCAGGAGGGCCCAGGCTCGCGGTGACGTTCTCCGGGTGCTACCTTGATTCTTAACCGTGTCACCTTTAACTTGCGCTCTGTAAGTGAAGTCTGATGGGGTGATGACGCATGGGCGTGGGCAGGGCAGACGCCAGGCAGACGAGCGCACGGCGTGGGGGTCGGAAGCTGGGTGGCTGGCCTGGGGTCAGGCACACACTCACGAGTCCAGAAACAAGGTGGTGCCACAAGGCCCCAAGGCTGGGACCTCGGCCCAAATGGGCGGTGGCAGAGGGCACGGCCATGGGAGGGGGGAAGGGCTGGGGCAAGGCCCGGACCGAGAGGGAGGCAGCCTGTCTGTCCATCATCAGAGCCCGCCCCTGTGGAGTCTGCACAACACTTAGCTCTTCGTCCTGAGCCCCAGGGCAGTAAACTATCACAAAGGAAGGGCCTACAGTTCACAATGCAACAAAGTACATCAGGGAGTTATTAGAATTCTTTAAAGAGTTCGTTAATATCTCGTTTTGAAAACTGCAGCAACATTGCAAAGCAAATATCCACAGGCACAGAAACAGAAATTGAATGTAGAGATTGCTGCATTGGATAGAAAATACCCACAACTTTCATATGAAGCTTCAGAAGAAGAAATTATTAGTAATGAAGCCCATTTTAAAATTAAATTTCCGTATAATTGACGATGTAGTGACACAGTGCGTAAAAAGGCATTCTGAATTATATGCAGCTCATGAAGACACTTCCAGTTTCTTGTAAGAGCTCTGTAAGTCACAGGAAATGGCAGAGGAAACATTAAAATAACCGTGCGTAAAGATACATTTAAAATTCAATTCAGACTTACACAAAATGGATGTGTGTGAAGAACTGAATCTTTAGCAAAACTGTTCCATAAGAATCGTCTGATCCAGATGTACTGAAATTTGTTTTTTTTCTTCCTTTTTTTTTTAAACATCTTTATTGCAGTCTAATTGCTTTACAGTGCTGCTGTATAACAAAGTGAATCAGCTGTATGTATACATATATCCCCATATCCCCTCCCTCTTGCGTCTCCCTCCCACCCTCCCTATCCCACCCCTCTAGGTGATCACAAAGCACCGAGCTGATCTCCCTGTGCTATGCGGCCGCTTCCCACTAGCTATCTATTTTACATTTGGTAGTGTATATATGTCCACGCCACTCTCTCACTTCATCCCAGCTTACTCTTATCCCTCATTGTGTCCCCAAGTCCATTCTCTACGTCTGTGTCTTTATTCCTGTCCTGCCCCCAGGTTCTTCAGAACTTTTTTTTTTCTTTTTAAGATTCCACATATATGTGTTAGCATACGGTATTTGTTTTTCTCTTTCTGACTTACTTCACTCTGTATGACAGACTTAGGTCCATCCACCTTGCTACAAATAACTCACTTTCGTTTCTTTTTATGGCTGAGTAATATTCCATTGTAAATATGTGCCACATCTTTATCCATTCACCTGTCGATGGACACTTAGGATGCTTCCATGTCCTGGCTATTGTAAATAGTGCAGCAGTGAACATTGTGGTACATGACTCCTTTGGAATTATGGTTTTCTCTGGGTATATGCCCAGTAGTGGGATTCCTGGGTCATATGGTAATTCTATTTTTAGTTTTTTGAGGAACCTCCATACTGTTCCCCATACTGGCTGTATCAATTTACCTTCCCACCGACAGTGCAAGATGGTTCCCTTTTCTCCACACCCTCTCCAGCATTTATTGTTTGTAGAGTTTTTGATGATGGCCATTCTGACCGGTGTGAGGTGATACCTCATTGTAGTTTTGATTTGCATTTCTCTAATGATTAGTGATGTTGAGCATCCGTTCATGTGTTTGTTGGCAATCCGTATATCTTCTTGGGAGAAATGTCTGTTTAGGTCTTCTGCCCATTGTTGGATTGGGTTGTTTGTTTTTTGGATATTGAGCTGCATGAGCT